TCCCTTGATATAAACTGGAAGCTGAAGCAATCATACTATCAATTAGGGCTTAAGTCAGTCTTTCCTATTATTAGAAGAGACATGAATTTTGCATTCATGCTTTCTACTGTGCTCCTTTAGTGCCATCTGGTGACTAGTTTGAAAGGAAAAAAAGTATGATTGTGTTTCCACCTGGAGAAGTAGCTGTGACAATTTAAGCTAAAACATTTACTTGAGCAAGATCATATCAGGTGACATTTGATTTAGAAGTGCCCTTATCTTAGCTAGCATAAGAGGATTTCTTTGAACATAATTTCCAGACCAAAATTGATCCGATACTTAATATCCAAAATTGTGTCATGAGTGTGTAAGGTAAACATTGCACTTGGTTAGAAATTTGGTGTTCATGCACAGAATTAATGAAGAGGTAACTAGTGATGACATTAATCACTGTATGTAATTTCTGGTTTGCACCTGTTGAGGTCCATGAGTCTTTTGTAAATTGTAAAGCCTTTGTAGTTCTTGTTCTTAACGAGTTTATATAAAAGCCACAGCAGCTATGAAAAAAATCATGTTATTCTTAGATAAATAAAAATAAGAAGGCTGAACATCTTATTTCAAATTTTTGGAAATATATATTTGACTACATCAGGCCTATACCTTATCATCTACAGGAACAGGCTGGGCTCCACATGGTTTCAGACATATTTAGATTATTGTGCATAACATTGCCATACATCCCACATACACACACATTTCCCATAACTACTCCCCACACACCCAATTCTTTACTCCTCTGTTAATCCTTTTTATATCATTATGAATGTGATGTGCATGAATTACAATTTTGGTGCCTGACAAAGTTATCCTGCCATAGGAATCATATTGCATTCTCTCCTGTCACTGTCTCTGGAGGAAAAAATATGCTGGCTTTGAACACAACCAGAATATGCCACTGAGATGTGAGGCAGATGGACTGAAATGCCTTCAGCATCTAAACGAGTGAAAAATCACAATTGAACTAAAAATACTTCAAAATTAAAAGATGTCAGTGATTAGCCACTTTCATCTCAGGTGTTCTTAATGTGAGGTCAGTATCTCATAATATAAGGTTAATTAGAAAAATAAAGAAAAAATGTCAAGAGAATAAATCATCAGTTCCATTTTTTCTTTTCTAATGTGGATAATGGATTTCAATCTTTTACGAGATGCATGAAATAATATAACTGCATTTATTCTGTTGCACGAGTAAGACAGATTTAAACACAGATTATAAGAAAAATATTATCATGTTAGAGAAAGATAAGTGACATTTTAATTCAGGTAATTTCTACCACAAAATATTTCAAGTGCATTCTTTTTTCCATCATTGTTTTAAAAAACTAATATGATTATGTTTTGCATATGTCTGTATTGTAGCACTTTGTGGATTTAAAAGGTATAATAAAGACAGAGACTGGATTTATGGTTTAATTGCCATTTTTCATTATTTTCATAATTTTCTAAGAAAACTGTCTTTTGGATAGTAATTTTCCATGCTCTATTGCTTTCTTAAAGTTATTCTAAGCATATTTAAGTAATCTGGCAAATTCAAACAGTCCTAATTTTGTGGTAATGTAAGCATGAAAAATATTCATTTTGTTCATATTTCAAATGAGTTTTTCCTTTCTATGACATAAGACAGAGAGAAATTTCAAGTATGACTTCTTTGGAAATCCTTACAGAGAAAGGATCAGATGCTGAAGAAATCAGTGGTAGCATTCCTAAACATGCACTCTAGAATACAGGGCAGTAGGCTGTTGCTTGTGGTCTGTGGTTTTATTCTCAGAACTCAGTCACTAATCTACTGACTGACATCAAATAAATCAGTACTGCTCTTTGAGAGTTCATTGCTGTATATTAAAAAAAAAAAAAAAGGCAACTCTGTGTCCCTCGAGAAGTCAAGACCCAATGACCAAAATCACCGTGTAATAGCTGCTGTTTATAGATACTGGGGCTTTTTTAAGTGGATTCTCTTTTTTTCTGAAATATTTCTTTAAACTTATGCCTGAGTAGGGATGACTGTGTTATTATCTATATGGATTTATGATACTTGGGCTTGTCTACATAAAGATACATCAGTGAAGACCATGTCAACATCAAGCAATCTTTAAGGCTTATTTTAGTGGCACCTAAATTAGGTTTTTAATTTTCCAATTTTTTTTCTCTAGCAAAAGATCAAAACAAGGGAAATTATGTGTGCAAAACAGTGAGAATGTGTGAATACCAGACATTTGCAAAAAAATTTACAATGCTAAATTTGACTTGGATGGTTAATTGCTTGAAGATTGTCAAACTTACATAGACCATATGGTTCTTTTCTTTTTCATTAGGTGAACATTCTTCTTTATTAACTTTGCCACATCACTTAAGCTTTTTTTCTTTGTGGGCTGGACTATTATAGTACATGATGTAAAGGGTTGTTTAAAAAAAAAAATAATTTTAACCTGATGCCGAAAAATCTGGTATGAAGAACTGCTCAGAGACTTTTGTATCTTTTAGCAGCAAGGTATTTGTTTATTCAATGTTGGGAGCAAGCCAGCTCGCGCTGGACATACTTGCTCGACTTGAAAGTGCAAAAGCAAGCCATTTTTATACACTTTAGATACATTGTTACATCATTAAACATACATATTAAAAAGTAGGCTAGTCCCTGGGCGGAGTCATTCCAGACATGCAGTCTTCTACTGTGGGAGTCTTCTCCTCGAGCCTTCATCCCTCTGGTGGTTACCATGGACGTCTTCCTCAATTTGACCTATTTGATTAGGTGACCTGAATTCTTCAAGCTTGCAAAATCCTGGCTCTGGGCCTTCTATATCTTATTCAAACATCTAGTTTACCTAATTTATTACTATGTGTGTACTACTCCTATTCTTTCTATAAGGCGGTCTTTGGTCCAGTGAGCAGAACAGAACATGATATTAACCAGTGCTCCTAAAATGTTCTTCTAGCAAAACAGATATTGGGGTTTCTTAGCAGGTCGAGATATCTCAGTTAACTCTTTTAGGCCTGGCTCCTGTTTCAACCTAAAATAATAAATACAAATGAATATATTTCAAACTTATTTTAATAGTCTATGAGTCTAGATCACATTTCAAAAGGGGATAATAGAAGATGCGATTCAAATATCTCAGAGCTTCAAAAGAAAGATTCAAAAATAAGAAAAGTTTTGCATACTTACCAAGATGAAATAATTTAGCACATTTCAACCCCACACAGCAGAACACAGTAAAAAGTCAATGAGTTGGTATTGACTGATTTATCTCTGAAACCAGGAGTGATATAACTATTGCAAAGGATTAATATGAGTGCATCAGCAGCTGATGTAGATGTATACTGGCTATGAGACTTGTGTTAGTAGACATACCGGTTTTGTGCTGCTCACTCAGAAATAACTGCACTGCAGTGAATTTATAAATATTCACTAGGGGCCTAATACTATATCCATTTATGTCAACACAATGTTTCCAGTAACTTCAGAAGTGAAAACTGAAACTCCAAATTTCATAATGAATCTACAGACAGGAGGATAAAACAGTAAGACTTTAGACACAGGAGCAGAAAAACAAAGCTCAAGGCATAACCAGGGATAAATCATGCTACAACAGCTGCACACAACCAACCAGGTGCTGATACATAAAAAAGTAGGCATTTGAGAGTATGGTATGTCTTTACGTGATTTCTCTTGGAGTAAATTTGTCCTTGTCAATTCTGAGGTCATTCCTATGATTAGCAATATATGCTTCTAGTGTGTGGAACATAATGGACTTTAAAATATTTTAATTCTTTCATATACCTGTGGCCTAAAATAAAAATTCATCTATTTCAACATGAACTAATTTATGAGATTCTTGTCATTGTCCTTTACCATTTATTCAACTAACAAAAAAATAGAAATTTTGGCAGGTGATATAAGTGTTTAATTTTTTTTTTCAGAATATTTTGTGAAGTCTGTTGTGTAACATTTGTGAAATATTACACAAAGATATAACATTGTTCTTGTTAAAAGCCTTACTCTGAAAACCTTGTTATATGGATTTGACTGAGCAGTTTCCTGTGCAGAGTACATGTGGTCAGCAAACCTTAACATCCTTCCTAAAAAGGGGCCCAACACATTCTCTTTGAAAGTACATAAAAATTTAAACAGAAGCCAAGTGGAATTCAAAAGCATTTCTACAGAAATAACAGAGGTCAGTTTTAAAGAATCTATGGACTGCTATTGTCCTATTCTGCATTTGCTGTGATAATGTTTATGCAAATTTCCTTTCTAAGTAAAAAATCAGTATTTTTTAAAATCATCCTTTTGGGGTTGAATTTTTATTGGTGATAATATTAATAACATTTTATCAGATCTCATCATGAAAAGAAGCTGAAGAATTTTCAGTGTTTTATTGAATATTCACCAGTATTTACTTCACAAATTCCCTTAACCTTATATTCTTCTTTATCTATGAAGCTCAGTACCAGAGTTTACCTTAACAACACGCTTTCCAAGTAGTGATAACTAGATCATAGTGTAATTTTTCTGCTCAGAGATATGCAGCCTTTCATTCTTTGTTCCATTTCTGTTTCCCCTCTAGGGTAGGAAAAGGAAATTTCAACCTAGGCTGTTCAACATTGATGTTACTTGTCCAACAACTCTCTATACTAGGGAGACCATATGTCAGCTGCAGTTAGCACTTAAAATTTATCAATACCCACCTATGTATTTAAAGATCTCTTTCTTCTTTGTCTCTGTATACATTTAAAACACTAGAATCAAGAACAGTAAGAAAGCAAATAGAAGAGAGACATTAGTAGAAGAAACTTACTTTTTTTGTCTCCTGGGTAGTTCAAGTAGCCATGAAACTGGAATTATATTGTCCAAAGATTGTCATCCTTTATGGAGGCATAAACATCTTTTTCACTTTGCCTTTGCTGTGAGAGGTTTGAATACTCTGTGGTCAACAGCACAAACAGTAATGAGATCTGTTTCCTTCCAGCTACGTGTTGCCTGTGAGCAGTCCTGAAGGTTACTGTCTGATTGAAATGGCTGCAGATGGAAATCCTCCTGTACAGCACAGACTCTCTTTCTCACCTCAAGCATCTCAGGTCAGTCTGAAAGACATCAGAAAATAGCTATATACTTTGAACATTTTATCAACATATGTACTTCATTATTTTCAAAGGAGAGGAGGCATTCTAACTAAAAAACTCCTCTTCAGTTATTATTAAATGTACTTAGTTTCTGTTTAATAGGTTTTTTCACATCAAGCATCCATACTATTTCCACTTATTTCTTAAGTTTACCTAACTCTGAAACTTCTATTTCAGCTGCCTAAAAATCCATGGAAAGGCCACTGATGGTATGAAAGGAAAAAATATGTAAGCGATGTCATTTACCTAAGGCCATGGTGTTAGAAACAATTAACATATTGCTAAGAAGTAATTCTAGTTACTTTCTAGTTGCAAGCCACGTTGTCTAGTGGAAGACAGTTATGATCATCAGTGATTTAACTTGATTTCAGAATTCTTGCTAGGACTTCACTTCTGAATAGTATTGCAAAAACATCAGTCTCCATTTTGAAACTGGTACCAGAAGACTCATTCTAAATGGTCAATAGGTAGATTTCCCAAATCTTGATTTTTTTGTTATTCTTTGTCTCCATGTTATTGCCTCTCTTTGTTATGCATTCTTTCATCACAAGATTATTTCTGCATGATACATTTAAAATGTTTTTAGACTTGAGAATTTAAACTATGATTGGCAGCTTGCTTTATAAGTTTGTTCACCGAAGGCAGGCCGGTTACCTGTAGAGATGCTAATCATGCTGTGCAACTCACAGTATGCACCACTGGTTTGTAAAAGAATTTCTTCCCTTGCGTGGTATCTATCATGAATGTCGCATCCTCATGACTATTACACTTTACAGATCTGCTCCTAATCTTCCAGAGCCTCTATTTTCTTTACAAAGTACACAATCAAAGAAAGAAAGAAAAAAAAGAAATTTCTTATCTCTAAGCGACTAGCAGATATCTTCCCATTACTGGTTGAGCTAATCGTTTTTAGCACTCAGGTTCCAAGGAAAATAGCATATTTTCAAATTAGTATTTGAAATATTAGTATATTAAATAAAATTTTGATTTAATGCTATATTAAGCTGTTATATTATTAACAGGACTTACAGGAATTCTTTCTGTGTGCCTCCTTAAAATATATTCTGGTTAAGTCAGTTAAATTCAGAATGTAACCTTTACAGAAAGAATGTGTATTATGCTGTACTAGCATGAGTTAGAACATCTAATACATTATGATAAAATCCATTGATGCAAAAAAATGAGCAGAGCCTACCGAAGTTGTTCTGGGGTACACTGAATCTACCCCCAAGGTAAGTGCTTTTGTAAAAAAGGTCCAATAGTAAAAAAAATTGTGTTGCATGAGGACTGTTAAAAACATTTTTCTTTATCACTTTAGACACTTTATAATGCAGTTCAACACTTTGATTAATTCTTGAAACAGATTTACAAGCAGAGAGAAAATGTCTGCAAACACTACTTACAAATCTTGTCTTTCACTGCACTGGTTTATAGCTTTGTTTGAAAGGGGATAAAGTCAAGTGATATGAAATTAATTCAACAAGTGCTGAGTCAATGTCTTTGAATTCCTCTGACATGAAAAATCTGATTTAATTTTATCCATGCTCTAACAGAAGCAGGTGTTTTTCTCTTTCCCTTCAAAATGAAAGACACTAAGTAGAGGAATATCTGGCAGTATTCACATTCACCGTAACTCCAAATTTCACTTGGAATTGTCAGCAACATAGCTTCGGGACTGACAAAGGCAATACAGGACACAGCAAAACAAAAATCATACAAATGTGTGAATTCCAGATAAATCAATGTGATGTTTTCCTCCTGTTCCTAGTTCTTTACAGTTGATGTCTGAATACGGTAGTGAAGAGCCCCTTCACTATAAATTATCTCCTCACGTTTCACACATGCTGTGATATATTTCTTATTCCATTTGTTTACTCCTGCTTGATATGAATTGTCTAGGTTTCACCCTCTTTCTGGATTGATGGTATTGTACAAATAAATACATCATAGTGACACACCTATGAAAAAGTAATTATTTTTTTCAATGCCTAAGAATTGACAGACATTTAGCAAAGAAACTTAGGAACGATGAAGCCCCATGTCAGAATTCCGGAAAGTCAGGCATCAGCTTGAGGAGTGGAATACACAGTGCTAAATGAGTCATACGTGCTTTATATGTGATGGTCAAGGGTTTGAATCTTAAATCAGGTAAAACAGGAATTACCATAGTGAGCACTGATGTGATTTGGTCAGTCCCAACCTGGAAAAAGTTGTGGTTGTTTCTCTAGTGCCTTTATAAGGATGTTCTAGGCATTTGGAAATTTGAAAATTTCCCTTTTTTCCCCTGGGCTTCAGTATAGCAGTCTGTTTTCTGTCATTCATCAAAAAAACACTTAAAATCTTTTTTCTGTATTCATCTTATAGGGGTCCTGTAGGTCCCAGGAACTAAAGAAAATATCTTCAAGTCTACAGCTTTGGTGTTTCTGCACTAAATCTCAACCATGAATGTACAACACATCATACAGGATGAGGAAAGTCATGTGAAAAACTTACCATGTTCGTTGTGATTAGGGCTGGGAATTCCAATTTGTGTTTCACGGGAAACATATATTTGAAAATATGAAAATACATTAAACCACTGTCTCTGTAGGGATTACTTTTTTAAAAAAGAGAACCACATTTTTAGAAAGAATCTTTTCAGCAAGTATCATAGTTTTTGTCCATCTTTGAGCAATTACTATCTCCTTTATCAGCAATTATTATTCATTCATTGTTTACAGTAACTTCACAAATCACATTCTTTTCTGATGATTCTCTTTTTGTTTCTGCAGATCACCTTTGGATCAATCTTCCTTGGAAATGTTCCTGTTCATGAAGAGGTTCATCGATGCGCTGGGCCGATACATGGCTATAAAGGATGCATTAGGGATTTTCAAGTTAACCACAAAGAGTTGTTCATCATAGATGAGGCTCTTGGAGGGAGGAATGTTGAGAACTGCAATGTTCCAATATGTGATTATCATCCATGTCACAATGGTGGAACCTGCACTAGGTAAGAGTTATTTCTTTACTCATCATCCATTTACATTCTGTGGTCGGTAGTTTCGTCCTTAATGAAAAATTATTATAATTTTCTCTATAATGAAATAATCACCAACCTTTTGTCCTGATAAGTTTAAACAGAAAATATGACACCCTCATGCCAGCCAGAGAGATTTTATACTTTATTTTCTTACATGAAAAGCGATATAAAATGTAATTACCTTGTCAATGCAGCATACCTATTTGGTTGATGCCAGAATTCCTTTGCAACCAGTTAGATCAGTTCCACTACAAGACTAAATCAGAACATTTGTATAGACAGCTTGGACAGAAAGTACATAAGATCTCATTCTTCGGCCTAACAACTCTGTGTTTTTACTAGGCCTTATACCCTCACTCATCTTCTTGATGTGCTCCTGGGTACAAAATGTTTGTCATCATGCTATGAAAACACTAACAAATGACCTACTTGTTCATCTCCAGCACATGTGAAAAAGTATTGTCAAAGAACCTTTGACAGTTAAGGTGCATCGTGCTGAAAGAGGAAATGGAGTCTGAGTCTGAAAGAGACATGAGTTAAAAGAACAGAGGATGATGGTTCAGTTGAATGATGGTTAGTTGTAGAACAGTAACTTCTTAAGCCATAGTAACTTGATCATTGTCTAAGGAAGTCAGCATTTAGAAACACATTTTTGTTTAGAATTGATAGAATTTGTGAAGTAGCTGCCAATTTTTTTAAAAATTGCACTTCAGCTTCAAGGCAAATGCTAAACAGAACATAGCCTAAAGTTCTTTTGATGACTATTGTGTGTTTCTTAGATTCAGGAGGCCTTGAACAAAGTTTTGAGGGGCTTCTCTGCCTCCCTTGACTGATGTGAGCACACGAAGAACACCAAACAGATTTTGATCTCTAGGTCTTGTTTGATTAAAGCACAAATGAAAGCAAAGCAACTTTGTGAAAGTATACACAATTTGCCTACCAGTCTTGTGAAAATGAGTCCTTTTTCCTCTGTTGGTCCTTACTATATTCATATCTATACTATATCTCAGCAAGCAAGCAATTGATAGGACTGCTTGGTCTGTCAACTACAATTATAGAATACTTTTTCATTTAAATTTGGGTCCTGAATAATTCATGACCGTTGGTTTTTTTACTGCCTTTCTGCTTTCCAACTGTTGGACCAGGCTCTTTTCAGAAATGCTTTTGTTTTGAAATGGTTCACTTCTCTTCTGTCCAGAGGAGTCATGGAAGACTGGGTATGTGAAAACCAGGGATAAGCAGCTCTGTAGTATCTTGATTTTCACTATTTTCTACGACAGACAACTGATTTTCTGGGATTACCTCCTCCATGCCCAAGAACGACTCATTCTAATGAGCAGGAAATCAAGTGTCAGGAAGCCTGCATCAGTGAATAAGATGATCCTGACAAAACTCAAATATCAAAAGGAAGCATACAAGAGGTAGAAGCATGACCAGGTGACTTGGGAAGAATACAGAGAAAATATCCAGCTATATAGATATGGGAAAAGCCAAAGTCCATCTAGAGATTGATCTGGCAGGGGGACATGCAGAGCAAAACCAAATGCTTCTACAAGGATATCAGCTGCCAAAGGAAGACTTGGCAAAATGTAGGCTTGCTGCTGAATGGTGCTGGAGTTCTGGTGACAAAGAATTCAGAAAAGACTGAAATACTCAATGTTTTCTTTTCCTCAGTCTTTATTGATAATTGGCCTTCAGGAATCCTATTCCTCTCCTGCAGGAGAAAGTCTGGAAAAGGCAGACTTACACCTAGGGGACAAGAATCAGATTTGGGAACTTTTAAACCAACTGGACATATATAAGTCCATGGGACCTGATAGGATTCACTCATCAACGCTGAGGGAGCTATATGATGCTATAGTAAGATTTTTGTCGGTTGTTTCAATTACACCGCTTAGTGGAAAAAAAAAAGAAAAAAAATTTTTTCCAGTACATGTTATTCTTCAGGTGTTTGGCAACTAATTAGCAGGTTTGCTTCTGAAAGACTATGAATTATTACATGCGAAATATCTCAGCCATGTTCTATAATGAAAATTGGAGCTTATCAACATATACTTCTGAGAATAGTCAGGTCTTTTTCAAAAGAAACACTTGTTTACTGTTGTTCTTAAAAGAAAGTTACTTGCTGTTTCTCATCAACTGAGTACAAAAATGCTATGTAGTGTTCATCCTATTAATTACTATAATTATGCATGGGAAATGTATTTGCAAGAAAAAATGTTTTCTTTGTATTTTTTGGCAGGAAGAGGCAGGGACTAGTATGTAGCTGGTGTTCAGATACAAAATTTCAAATGCAGCTGGGGCCAGCAACTCCCTGTGTTCTGGTCATTGGCTACATCAGGTGCTCCCCAGGGTCATATCAGGGCAGGGCCCTGCACCAGGTGGGGCACCAGGGCAGACCCAGCCCTTTGGTATTGGGCACATCCCTGGGTATAGCAACAGGCTGAGGCGGGGCTGGGATATCAGTCCACTGGTGAGGGATCAGAATCTAGCCCAGAGAGGGGAACCGGGGCCAGATCCAGCCCTGATTGTCCGGCAGGACTCTGGTGATGGGAAAGCAGAGCTTTATTATATGTAATGGTGACTTGGGAAGACAAATACCATCACTCAGAATGTCCCCTGCTTCCTCCTTCATACTCCAGCTTGATATGCTGAGTATGATGTCATATGGTCTGGAATATGCCTTTGGTCAGTTGGGGATGAGCTGTCCTGGCTGTGTCTCCTTCCAACTCCTCGTGCACCCCCAGCCTCCTCGCTGGTGGGGTGGGGTAAGGAGCAGAAAGGCCTTGACTCTGCACAAATGCTGCTCAGCAATAACAAAAACATGCCTGTGTTATGAACACTGTGTTCAGCACAAATCCAAAACACAGCCCCATACCAGCTACTGTGAACAAAATTAACTCTATCCCAGCCAAAGCCATCACAGTAGAATAAAAGTCATTCAGTTTCAAGAGCAGCTAAACATACGCTGTATCAGATGAGTAGTTTAGTACAAGTCCAAATTTTTAATTCTTTACACAGATACTATTTTATTAGATTTAAAAACAAGGTAGTCTCCTATGTAAGTGCTCTACTCCTTTAAGAAGCACTTTTTCAAGTTCACTAGCTCTTTTACTGCGCTTTAAATCTATGCTAATGTAAAATTTCAGAGACTGGTTAATTTTAAAGGGGGAAAAAATGACAACTATTCAGTAAATTTAGGGTTTGATTGTCATATACATATGTTCTACAGAATTCAAAACTCATTAGATTTGGATGTGTTTGAAAAGGGCATGGAAATATTAACCTAGGAACCTCTTAATATTCTACGTGGCATCCTGATCATATGAGGCAGATGTTGCAAACCAAGCTTAGAGTTAATTAAGAAGACACATCTGTGTGTGAGAAAGAAACTCTCAAAAGTACCTCACCAATGATTTGACAATTATGTCAGCCACTACACCAGTAGTATTTGATTAATGTTTGTTTTAAATTGTATAAAGACTCAAAAAATGAAAACACCTACAAGCTTAGCTTTTACAATGTAGAGTACAATCTCAAAGTTAATTGCTCCCACAAACAATCATGTTTCCAGTGTCTCAAACTATTCTTACAGTGATTATTCTTACTGTTGTTATTCCTCGTGTATTGATGCAGCAGATGGGTCCGTTAATGTTAATCAATTAACCACGACTGAAAAATCAAACTCAATTAACAATAAATTTCAATAGAGAGACACTTATCTTCACATTTCAACTGCTATGAATGCTGTAATCACCAAAAGTATATAGGGAATGTAACTTTTCAATTTTCGTCCTCTGATAATGTAAGAGATACCTTCTGTCGTGGTTTGACCCAGGCCCAATTTTTCAAACCCCCACAAATCTGCTAAAAGAGTGAGAGAAGTTTCACACAGGGAGAACAGACTCAGCATGGGGAAATAATATCAAAATTTATTACTAACAGAATAGAAACTATAGAATAATATATACACCAATTCTAAATAGTGCTTCCTATGATGACAAACTATGTATTTACAAAAATCACCCTTCTCCTCCCATATCAGTCCAGAAGAAGAAGAAGTCTGTCCTTCACTTTCAGGATTACAGCTTCAATTTACCATAGCTGGAAAAATTTCTCTCTCTTTCTTCTATAGAGTGCTAGGTCTCAGTACCCTGCCTCTAACTGCTCGGCTCCCACTGAGGGTTCATCCGTGGGCTTTGAGGGAAACACTTGTTATCACCATGTCTTTACCACAGAGTACAGGGAGTTAAAGCTTTAAGTCTTTATTCCCTGCTCCATGGAGTTTTCCTTCCACAGGGAGTTTGCTCTCTGGGAATCTCTCTCCAAGGGGACCACCCCTCTTCCCAGGGTCAAAAGGTTCTGGGGTTTTGGCTCAGTCCTACCCTAGAATGTTCCAGGCTTGGCCTCTCTCTGCTCTGCTCAGCTCCCGGATGCAGGCACACTCTCTGCTCGTCCAGTTCATTGCTGCTGCTGCTGCTTCTGCTGCTTTGGCTGCTACAAACTCAGGGTCTGGCCACCCTGGTCTAGCTTGCAGGACATCTCTGGGCCCTTCAGCCCTTCTCTGCTGCTCCAGTTTCAGCTCCAGTTGCCCCCTCCAACCTCCATGGCAGGGAAGGGGCAGCGAGTGCTTGAAGTTTCTCTCTCTCTGCTCCGTTGCAAACTCTCCCAGCAGGACACTCCCGTGTTCCTTGGTCTGGCTCTGTGCCATGCTCTGCTTCTCTGGGCAGCTTTTCTCTTGCTCTCTGGAATTCTTCTGGTCTTGGCTGCATATCGTTGGCCAGGAGCCCAGTCTCGGCCCTGGCCGTAGCTGCCGCCACTTCTTCGCAGGGGCTTCTCTGCTCTGAGCTGCTGCCAGCTCAGAGTCATGGCTGCCGGCCTGGAGTCCTCCTGGGCCAGGGCTGGCAGAGCCTAGCCAGCCTATCACCACCCCTCCTCTGCAGTGAGGGAAGTTGGTGAGGCCGGCCGGA